AAATATAACATCATTTTTTAAAAGTGTAAGCAAATCGAATTAGGTGCAGTGACTTTCCATATCTATAGTCCATTCGAATTTAGGCTGATTGAGGAAAAACCATCTGCATCTATCCATTTAAACCATTAAAATCATTTATTTTGTGACAGATTAGTTGGTCAATTCGATTTTGATAGATCTTGTGGATATTTGTCCACCCCTAACTAAGAGGATTTTCACCTTTCTCCAATAGTGATTTTTGTTAATTTCATTTAATTAATCAGACATGTTGCTCGAAAATGAAAAATTACAAATGTCATAATATGATTTTTATTAATTAAAATAGTAACACTTAATATTTTTTAGTTAGTTTTGAAAGATAATTAGATAAGTATCACCTCAAAATGATGTGGAACATTGCTCAAAAATTACCAAATAACTTGTCAAATTAGAGAGGTGCATGATTAGATTTCAGAATAAATCAAAGATCAAATTATTATTTATGATTTTATAAAATTTAAAATCAAATCAAACTGAAGCATAAAACATTGCTATGCGACGGAAGTAACGTACCATTGCATATGTTGCGTCTTTTGTGACGTAATGGGTTACCCATTACTAAAAATATCATTTTTTATTATCTTCTTTTTTGCAATGGATTATTTCCATCGCAAAAAATTATATTTAGTGATGAAGTTTTTTACTATTGCAAAAGCTTGTTATTTGCCACGGTTTTTAAGTCGTCGCAAAAAATTCAATGTCATAAAGCCCCTTTTCTAGTAGTGAATGGGACAATTTGTCAACCATTCAAGTCCTTCCATTCCAAAAACAATTAGGTGCATAAATGATAAAGAACAGAAAAAAAAGAAAGAAAGAACATAAAAAATACATATGGACCATGAACCATCTTCACTTTAAAAAATAAGTAACACAACATATGAGACAACACAAAATTCATACCCATAACCAAACAAACTGCAAAGCATATGAGACAACCATATATCCAATATTCTAGAAAGATTTGGGGATTGAGGGAAAAAAAACGCCACCTCCAACCACATACTAAAAATTCAAAAAAATACCATACAAAAATAATTTTTTTTTAAAAAAATCAATATATATATATATATATATGATTTTTACTCTATCCATCTACTTACCCATCTACTTTTGTCATTCATTTTCACTAAAAAAAAAAATCAGGAAAAAAAAAGGTTTAAAAAGCAGAGAAATCCAAAAAAAAAATAAAGCCAAATTACCCACCTACTTTTGTCTTTGATTTTGAACAAAAAAATCAGAAAAAAAAAGGTTTCGAAAGTAGAGAAACCCAAAAAAATAAAGCCAACTCACCCACTTTTGTCTTTGATTTTTAAGACCAAAAAAAAACAGGACCACTTCCAGGTGATTTTGAACCCAAAAAAAATAAAAAAAAAACAAAAAAGGAAGACTTGGGATTGCAATAATACAGTTGCATATTCACTCCAAAAGAACAAGTCGGAGAAGCCATTGAACAAAAGAAAACCAGTTTAAAGGTTCCAAAAGGAAAAAAAAATGTTTAGAAAGCAAACCCTTTTCTTCTTGTTCCTATCACAAGTAGCCATTGAACAGAGCTTCTGGTCTTATCGAGGATCTTCAGGGCAAATGAGTGGCCAGAATCAAGGCGAGGTTGCGCCGGTGGTGGTGGAACAATGGGATCGAGGCGATGAGAGGCCGGTCAGGTGTGAGAGAGAAGGGCTTGTAGAAACCCTCACACAGTAGAGAGAGAGAGAAGAGAGTACAGAGATAGAAGAACACAGTAGAGAAAGAGAGAGAGAGAAGAGAGTACAGAGAAACAAGAAACAATACTGGTAAAGAGAGTGTATTGACTAGTGGTAACAAGCTTTTTTTTTTTAATTTATTTTTAACTTGTTTTGGTTTTGGATGGTTAAGATTTAAAGATTTCAATCTAATGGTTCAAAATTATTTTCATGTATGGTACCCAAATACCACTTTTGGGTACCATAGTCGAACCCATGAAAGTAATGTCCAGGAAAAACCTGCAATCGAGTATGACATTTTGTCCCATTGCACGATCATGCGTGAATCTCGACACATGATTTGCATTGGGATAGAGAAACTAAGTGATTTAGAGACAGAAAATCCCGTGCCATGTATATGTAATGTTTTACTTTATGCATTGAAGAATTTGTTTATGAAAACATGAGATTGAATATAGAAATATTTGAATAGGTTGTGGGTTTCAAATAAAGCAGAGATACAGATTTGGGTGGTTCAGCATGAAGCTCAAGTTGGTGGGAGGTGACTCTGCTGGTGTTGTGACAGCTTATTATGTATGATTGATGATTATACAGATTATTACCAAATTTGCCCTTAGCAGATTTTGTTTTTATTTGTTTTTGGGAAATAACATGAAGGGTAAAAATGTAAATTTACGTAGATGTGCTCGGAGAACGGGGCGGGGCCGACGAGAGATGAATTGGATATTGAGTTTTTGGGGAACAGAACAGGGCAGCCGTACCTCATTCAGACCAACGTTTACAAGAATGGAATTGGAAACCGAGAGATGAGGCACCAGCTTTTGTTTGATCCCACTGAGGACTTTCACTCCTATTCTATCCTCTGGAATTCTCACCAGATTCTGTGAGTCTCTCTATTAATTCATTGATTTGTTACTACTATTTTTTTAACTTCAAATTGTCAAAGACTTGCACCATATAATTTATTTCTCTCTAGTCCACATTCCGGGTATAACAGTTCAGCCCAACACATTATGCCACCTATGTTATATTTTTTTGTAAATCAAAGTTTTAGGTTTTGTTGACTTATTAACCCATCAAATATTGGGTTGAAAATTTTTTGTTGGATCTAAAATTGGGTTTGGAAATAGGTAGATAAAATTTGAACTATTACCTTTTAAAAAATATTTTCGTGGCGAGCATGAGGTGCTCAAACTAGACATCCAATTCGAGTAGATTACCTTTCTTATTGGCATTCACGAGACAATAATACTACAAACTTACAAAAAATGTGTAGAAAAATATGCAAAATTTGAATTAGATTAATCCTGGGTGTAGCCTATTTAATAATATAATACTAAGGTTTAAATCTATACTACACATTTAAATTTTGAGCAATGTCGTAACATTCCAAGGTGGATGTTTGACCCCTAGACTAATAAGGTTGATAAATACCTAAACAGAATCTAACTCAATTCATAAATGAATTACACCTCCATAACAGTAGCTTAATCTGAGATCAAGTTTAACCAAGCATCAATCTATGGTCAATAAGTTGCTAGTAAGAAATATAACGCAAATTTTTTTTCGTTACACCTGATTAACTACCATATATAGAGTTAATTGTAATCACATATTAGTATTCTTCTCACAATTCTTTATGATGGACCCTCTGCATGTGAGTTCCTACAAAATAAATTTGTGTATTCTACAATCCAAGACAGGTAGGAACCCTTTAAGTCCAACCCTTCCCACTTCCATTAGACATGAAAAAATTCCCGAGGTATATTACAATAAGAGTTTATTACACTATTTTGGACTACATTGAATTTCATTATTATTATTATTATTATTTTTTGTGAGCAGGGAAAGCTTTGGTTTCTCCAATTGAGAGATATGCAGTTGTTCCTGATGACAACGTAAGTGTTCTTTCCACAGTTTTCATTGTCTTCATTACTGGTGTTTAAATAGTTGGTTTCTCCAAAAGATTATAATTTGCAACTGTTATCTATTTATTTGTAGGTCAAAAGGATAAATTTTGCCGAGGGGAAGATCTGATTCTAGAAGTAAGGAATTTGTAGCTTGATTTTTGAAATAGGCTCAAAATTGAGATCTTGTTGGAAATTTTTTAATTTTTGTAAGAGCATTTAAATATCCAATGTGCTGATTGGTGAATTTTAGATTTTAGTTTATTATTTTATTTTTTTTAGGATTTGGGTGAATTTTATAATTTAAATATGATTTTATGAACATGTATAGTTTAATTGTTCTTTGTAAAATATTGAATTTGATGGTTTGATCAATTTAAATTTTTATTTTTATTTTCTGTTATGATGTTTTTGTGAATAGAATGTAAATAATCAGCTCTTAGAGAGAGACGGCACCACCGTCGGAAAAAATAGAAAATTTTAATATTTTTATTAATTTTGTTACAGGTTTTACTTTTTGCGACGACATTATACTGTCGCAAAAAATAGAAATTTTATTATTTAAAATAAAAATTTTATTATTTTTTAATATTTTTTGCGACGGCATTACACTGTCGCAAAAAATAGAAAATTTCATATTTTTTATATTTTCTGCGACAGCACCACACCGTCGCAAAAAGTAGTGTTTTTTTTAAAAAAAAAGACTATTGGCGACAGTATTTTTTGCCGTCTCAAATAACATTTTTAGCGACGGTAAAATAGGGCCGTCGCAAAAAAGTTAAGAAATTTCAAACGTTATTAGCGACTGCACGGTGCTGTCGCAAAAAGTCAAAAAATGCCGTCGCAAAACATTCGCAAAAACTCTTTTGCAACCCCTGCAGTTGCGACCCCCCTCTTGCCGTCGCAAAAAGTCATTTTGTCGTCGCAAAAAGTATTAGCGACGGCATTAGGAGTATTAGCGACGGTATTTTACCGTCGCAAAAAGTCAATTTTTTTTGTAGTGATTGCGGGATCAAGAAACTAATGGACTGGTAAATTCTGACATTGTTGAAAATCTATTATGTGTTCTTAGTTTTACTTTATAAAATATATATATATATATATATTATTCTTTTTGCTCCACATGAATCTGATTTTTTTCATGCCTATGACGTTAAGTAGTTCTAGAAAAGATTGATATAAGCTTTTGAATGAGATTTCTTATTGACATTAATTCATTTTTACTTTTGATCAAATATCATATGTGAGTACATAAAAATATTTGCATACTGATTGGCTTAATTTGATTGTATCTAGGGACAATAAATAGTTATTTTTGTGTTAAATTGAATGTTGTCAAAATAATTTAGTTTTATTTTGTTGCATGGTATAATACATTTCATTACAAATTTAAGGTGAAATTGGATAAGAAATAAAGGCTGTGTTTGGTTTAGCGCTCTAATCATAATTTCACCCTTTCACATGAAGTCTCTGTTTGGATGGAATTTTTAAAAATTGATTCTACCACATATTTCAAAACACACTTCTCTTTTACGTTTGACAAAACTCTTTTCAAGCCAAAGCTCTTACATTTTCGTACATACCCTTTCTTTCGTCTTTTCCATTCTGAAAAGATTCACGTGCCAAAAGAGATCAAAGCTGAAGATACTTCATGGATGACCAACAGCTCTTCAATCACTTCTTCCGCTCTTTGAAAAATACTTTGACCTTCGAATCCAAACCATGCTTGTGAACCAATTCCTTCCCACTCATAAATTGGCATTGACGAGTTCTCACAAATCAACTAGCTTTCAGTTTATGCATTGTGATTGATTCACCCTCTAGACAACGAAGCAATGACAACAAAGAGATACAATTTTTATAAATTCCTGCCCAAAAATATGTATGAATTCTGTATGCAACTGATTAATTTTATGCTTTTTAATCCCTAAATTTATTTGTCTTAATTTCTAAATTTATTTGCCATGGGTCAAATTTGTGAAGTCTTTTCTCGAATAAGAGGGCGTCCCAACATATCATCAACCAACCGCTTTAACGACCCAAACGAAGACCCACCTTCCACAACAGCCTCTCTACTCTTTTCTCTCATCTCTCTCACTCTCTTCCTCACCAAAATGTCACCATCCATCACACACCTCACTGCTCTCTCTATCTCCTCTGCCGCCACCAATTCAACTCTGCCGCCGCTCCCACCAAGTTCATTCCTGTAGTCCAATCTCAGCTCCACCGCCAGATCCAAATCCACCACCATCTCAAACGCATTCAACTGTTGCTCTGCATACATTGGCCATGTCACGATCGGAACACCAACCCACAAGCTCTCCAAGATCGAGTTCCACCCGCAGTGCGACACAAACCCTCCCACCGCCGGGTGCCTCAGCACCGTCGTTTGCGGCGCCCACCCGCACACCATTCCCCTATTTTCCGTCCGTTTCAGAAACCCTTCCGGCAACAAGCCCTCGTAATCGCCGCCGCAATCTGTCGGTATCTCGAACTCGCCTTGTGGTGGCGGCCGTCGTATGGACCACAAAAACCGGTGGCCGCTCTTCTCTAGTGCCGTGGCGATCTCCGCCAGCTGAGGGGGACAGATGTACCATAGGCTCCCGAAGCAGAGGAAAACCACCGACGACGGAGGCTGTTCATCTAGCCATTTCACGATCATGTCCCGATTGCTCCCCGATTGGGCCTCGCCGGCGAAGTCTAGCAACGGTCCGACGGCGTAAACTGGCGGTGATTCCGGCGAGTCTAACAGAGACTTCACCGCACAGGATTCGAGCTCTTCGAATGTATTTACGATTATGCCCTTGGTTTCTATGAACCTCCTAGCGTGGTTGAGAAAGCAGGTGTAGCCGCCGTGCTTGTTGAATAGAAAGGCGGGTAGGACCGAGGTAGGGACCGGGTTAGCGTAACTCGGGAAGTGAGTGACCGAGTTTGGATCGGAGACAGTGAACTCGGTTCCGATTAGGGAATGGCGGATTGGGAGGTGGAGCATGAGGCCGAGAAAGGCGGCTCCGGAAGGGAAGAAGATGTAAGTAGGGGCGGCGAATTCGTTGGCGATGTCGATCATGGGGGTGTAGAAGAAGTCCACCACCAACCCCGCCAGCTGAGAAAAAGACAACACATGGTTGATGATTGCGTCTCTCACGTGTGATTTATAACTTTCCAAAAAATCGGAGAAATTTTTCTCCGGAGACGTGAGGAGTAGTTGTTCAGGAGGCGGTGGCGGTGGCGGTAGTGGAGGAGGGAGGTGGACGTAGCGGAATTGGGTGTCGGAGGCGGCGAGTGATTCAACGTAGAGATTGTAGAAAGGAGGGTGGAATGGGTTGATGAGGAGGAATGTGATAGAGAAGCGTTGGTCTTGATCGTGTAGGCGTTTGGCAAACTCTACCATGGATACAATGTGGCCCATTCCTGGGGTTGGCATGAACACAAGCTCTGCTTTGTTGTCCATTTTTTTTGTAAGGTTTGTTATTTTGGTTTTTTTTTTTTTCCTTCTTGATGAACCACTCTTTTATAGAGAGTTCACAGCTTGTATCTCCTAAAAGCTCACATAATGTGTTTGAAATTATGATGTAATCCATGATTTAAATATATTTAACTCACTCACTCAATTATTAAAGTTATGATATGATGTGATTGGATAATAATAAATAAATGATAAATATAATCTTACAAATAAATTATAAGTTTAGTTGTAATAATTTTATTGTTTTTTTTTTTTCCCTCATAATTTATATATAGAGAGAGACTTACAAAATGGATGGATTGAATTGAATTATAGAAGTGGACCTTGTGATCAACTTAATGATAACCTAAACAATTGTCTTTTATCACATAATTTCAAATTGATGTTTTAAAATTTTATCTCTATCTACTACATCTGTTAGTAAAACATTATAAAATTAATTAATTGGTATAATATTTTTCAAAAAAAAAAAAAAAAAACGAGAAAAGAAAAGAAGGGCTAAAACATGGCTGAATTGGTCCTCTTCTTTTTCATGAATTGATGATTCTTGTGGATTGTCATCAAATCTTTACGCTGTATTTAGTTAATAAATTTTGATAGTGATTTGAAAAGAAAAATAAAAATAAAAAATGTGTGTAAAATATAATTGAAATGAAATGAAATTATATTTTTATATATTTTTTTTCTCTCTAAATTTATGAACTAAACACAATCTTAGTGAGTAAAAACAAGGATAAGTAAATTTTTGGGAAAAATACAATTCAACGGAGGGTTTGGAAAAAAAATTACACATAAATGACAATTTTTATAAATATTAATAATTAAAATTTTAATCTTATTTATGTATTTATACTTTTAGTGAGATGGAGGAGGCTGTCAATGGAAACCAAAATAGCCACTGTACGAAGGTTATGTTTGGTATGGGTTTTTCCGGCTATTTTAGTCACAAAAAAAATTAAAATAGATTAAAAATTTAATAAAACAAAATATCACATTTAAATCATAATTATTTCATTTTTTCCTTATAAAAGTTAAAAAGCTTATTCCAAACACAAGCTAAAATATTCAAAAGTTAAAAAGTTAATTCATATCCCAAACGAAAGCATAATGAATTTTCCTTCGTTGGGTGTATTTATACTTTTTAAAAAGAGAAGTGATTAAGAGGTCTAAAACAAGAACTCTAATATGAATTCTAGTGATGTAGTAAAACAAAATAAATAAAAATAAATAAAATAAAAATAAAAATAGAAATAGAAATACAAACCAAACTAATACATCACATAATAAAATCCACCCTTAAATCAAGAGGTCTCCTAAACATTCTTTTCAAGAGTGTTATGGGAAGTTAGTAAAAAGTTAACTTTTTAGTTTTTTGACTTTTTTAGTGATTTTTTTAGCTAAAAAATTGACTTTTTGTGACTTTTTTTGTATAAAAAAAGTAAGGCTCCATTTGGTACAGTTTGGAACTAACGTTCCAAAGCTTATTTTGCACATCATGTTTGTTTAGGACTTCAAAAATTTATTCCATACTTACTTTTGAAAACTCGGTCGAAGAAGAGAAAACTTGGGCTACCCGGACGTCCCACCGGTCGTCCAGCCAGTTGACCGAACAGTGCAATTTTTTATTTTTTTTACAATTGACACATGTTAATTTTTATATATTCGAAAAAAATATTTTTTGAATTTTTTAAAATTTTTTATAAGCTTTAATAGAATTTTGAGTTGTGTGTTTGGTTATGAGTTGTAAATTTATGTATCAAATATTATATGTCATATCAAAAATTTCTCACTCAATTCAAAAAAAATTTCAAAACTCTTTCACCAAACAAATTTTCTATACTCAAATCATAATTTTAAAATTCACAAATTCAAAATACAATTCTTATTTTCAAATTATATTTAAAAACTCTACTAAACAAAATCTAAAAAAGTGACTATTTTAACTTCTCCCAAAAATCCTCAAAAAACTAATTGAATTGCAGTTCTTCATATATTTTTGTGCATGTCCCAGAAGGTCATGATTGTGTATTTTGTTTGATTGATAGAAAAGGACTGCGTCGTGACATCTTCTACTTGTGATGAGTGGACGGCTAACGGGACGAAAATTAGCCTCCGTTTGCCAAGGTAAATTGGGGTTAGAAAAATGTTTGGTAGCACTAATTAGTGCTCTCACTAATTAAGTGACAGTAAGTTTCGTCATTAATGATGTGATATTTTGATTTTAGAATTGTATTTTTTTTTTTTACTTTTTTAATGTATTAGTGCTATTAGTGGTGATGTTTTTAGTGGGATGAATCATTGTTGATGGGGTTATTTTAGCTACTAGCGGACAAAAAGAATTTAAATTAGTCAAATAAAGACAAAAGCGAAGCGCGTGGTCGGCAACAACTCATGTCATCGTAAATTTACCAAACTACCCCACTTCCTCTGAACAAGACAAATAATAAAGAAATGGAGTTGAGCTGGGGCATTTTGGGATTTGACTGAGGCAGGCCCTAGTTTGTCAAATCAACTGAACATGGATGATGAGGAATGTAAGTTGATTTTTAAATATAAATCAGATTACATTTCTCTCTTTTCCCGTTATCATGGTTGATACTATAGGATATTTTGAAAAGATTGGTAAAAATTTTATTTTGATTTTTTTTAATTTTTTTTTTTGTGAGAGATGAAAGTGGATTAAAAATTACAGTTTTGACTCGTAGTTCGAAATTTGGAGACTCGAATTTGGCTCGACACCAAAATGACGTCGTTTTGGTATCTTTTTTTTTTCGTGTTTTTTTTGAAGATAAAATAAATTATTTCTAAATGTTGATCTGCATAATTTGGTCTAGAGAAGAAGATGAACATCCAGATCAATATCAGACCAAGTTTGGCATGATTGAAAAAAGACAAAAAGTCAAAAAGTCACTATCCTATTTAAGTCACATCATCTTATTTAAGTCACATCACTTCTCTAACACATCACTTCAAACTCAACCAAAACCTAACCCATATTTCATAAAAAGTCAAAAAGTGCACTTATTTAGTCTTCCCAAACTAGGCCTCAATGAAGATCAACATCCAAATCAACATCAATGAAGAAATAAATAAAAGAGAAGAAGAAGATGAACAATTTGGTCTTTGATCTGAAGATCAACATCCAGATCAACCATCCACATCCACATCTGAAGATCAACATCCAGATCAACATCTCTAGACGTGGATGTCTGGTTCAGCTCCTCCATCTAGAGTTGTGTTTATCAACATCCAGATCAACATCAACAAAAAAAAAAAAAAAAAAATCTGATTCTGCAGATCAACAACAAAAATTTGGTTCTGTAAATAAATAAATTTTTTTCTTCTTGTTGGTTCAACAAAAAAAATATACAGAACAGAACAACTTTTTTTCGGATTCATCATCATCACCAACTTTTATTTATTTATTTTTTTTCAGATCTAGAACAAGTAAAAAATAAATAAATATACATAACAGAATTTTTTGCACCGCCATCATCCAGATCAATTTTTTTTTTGAACAGCTTCAGATTTTGAACATCATCATCATCTTCTTCATCTTCAACATCATCATCATCTTCAACATCATCATCATCTTCAACAGCTTCAGATCACCGACCAACAGCTTCAGATCACCGACCGTCATCACCGCGCCATCACCGATCTTCCTTCTCTTCTCTCTTCCTCTTCTCTCTCTCTCTCTCCCTCTCCCTCTCCCTCCTCCTCCTCTTCTCTCTCTGTCTCTGTGTTCGAAAGAATGAAGGGGAAAGAATGAAAAGGAAAGAAATAAAGAAGAAAAAGAGAAAAAAAAAAGACAGCCCAAAACGACGTCGTGTTGGGCTGTTGAGCCATTCGGGCTACAATGATTTCGAGCTACCACTCATTTTTCTAAAAATTAAGAAGTGAATTTCAACCTACTTCTCAAAATAGGCCATAATGGCTATGACTTTGTTTGGGATATAGGTTAATTTTTTAATTATTTTAATTTGGAATTAAAAAGTATTGTTTAAGTTAGATATTTTGATTTTTTAAATTGTTTTGAGAAAAAAAATGAAATGATTATAATTTAGATATGAAAATGACAAAAACGTAAATTAAAAAAAAAAAGAACTACAAAAATACATCTCATCCAAAAAAAAAAATTTAAAAAAATAAAATAGAAATTAGCATTTGCCACATAATTTAAAAATAAATAAAACACATGAAAACCCATTTTTGAAAAATGAAAGCAAATTAATGTATATAAATAAAAATAAAAATGACAAAAACGTAAGTTAAAAAAAAAAGAACCATAAAAATACCCCTCATCCAAAAATAAAAATAAAATTAAAATAAAAATAAAAACAAAAATTAGCATTTGCCACGTAATTTAAAAATAAATAAAACACATGAAAACTTATTTTTGAAAAATAAAAAAAATTTAATGTATACAAATAAAAATAAAATGAAAAAAAAGAAAATTTAATAAAAAGAACCACAAAAATATGCTTGATTTAAAAAAAAAAATTAAAAACAGAAATTAACATTTACCACATAATTTAAAAATAAATGAAACACATGAAAAATCATTTTTGAAAAATAAAAACAAATTAATGTATACAAAAAAAAATAAAAATGACAAAAACATAAATTAAAAAAAAAAGAACCATAAAAATACGCCTAATCCCCCCCCCAAAAAAAAATCTTATATAAAACCGTACAATGACGCTGACGTGGAGGAAGACTTTTGGCTAGGAGTTAAAATGTAAAACAACAAGGGCAGTTCGGTCATTTAACATGAAGACACTTCACCAAAAAGTCAAAAAATCAAAAAAGCCAAAAAGTTCTTCATAAACCAGACTTTTTAGCCTCAGGCTAAAATAGCAAAAAAAGCCAAAAAGTCAACCCACTTTCCAAACGACACCAAAAGGTTAATATTATCATTAATATTAACCAATGTTTGGTTTTTCAAAAATTGAGTTTATTTATTTATTTATTGTTTTTAGTGAATATTTTTAAAATTTTAAACAATTTTTTAACTTTTTTAGATGCATCTTACTTAGATATATAAATAGTAAAATATTGGTAAAAAAATATTGGGCAAATTACATATTCCT